TCTTTAGCTTTCTAAAGTTAAATTGGCACCAGAAACCCACAAACCAGCACACTCGAATCTGCAGCTGGAGCATCTTCAGCTGGATCAGGGCCGCTGTTCTGTTCTAGCCTCTGCCCATCAGGGGTCCGTTGGGATGAGTATGAGTTCAGCCATCGCTTCATGAGGCTTCTTGTGTGACAGAAGCTGGTCTCTGGGCCTGAACAGAGAGAGGATTCGGTGTCAGGTAGGTCCTGGCTGCCAGATCCTCCTGCTCCCAGAGAGATGTCTCAAGAATTCTGGGAAAGCAGAGAGACACCACATTCCATCCATTCTCTGAGGGTGCGTGAGGATGAACAGTTGGGACAGGTGACAGGAGGGGGGAGTGGGATGGAAAGGGGCCATCATGACAGGTTATCACCAGACCTGGGGTGAGAAGCTCAGCCTTTACTTCCTGGTTGTCACTGGGGAGAAGGGGGCTCCTGAGAGGGGGAGGTGTTGGGGGGAAGCCCAACCCAGAAAGAGCCCTAGATGTCTGCTGCTCTGCCACTGCCCCTGGTCGTCAGAGAGAAAGGACTGATCCGTGATGTCAGGGCTCCTGGACTGGGTCCCTCCAAGCCCAAGCTGTTGCTGTTGCCCCTGCTGTGTGTGTGTCTGTGTGTGTGTGTGTGTGTGTCTGTGTGTGTGTGTGAGTGTGTGTAGGGTAACACAGCTGTGGGACTTGGCCCTTGGTCCTCACGTCCTTGGTCTTCATTGGGGTACAACTTAGAGAAGGACGTAGGGTTGAAGCTGCAGGTATTGAGGATTGGGGACACAGTGTAGGACATAGTGCCTGTGTATCCGCATGCTCTGACCTTCTCTCATCCTAAAATTTACGGGTTTACTGTAGAATCATCTACATCTTCTCATTTATGGAAGAGACCAACACATTCCACGGTCCTCCTAACCCTGAAGACCAGGCCAAACCTGCAGGAGATGACCGAGGACCTTGGGCTGGAAATAGATGAGACCCTATAGGGACGGCAGCTGGGTTTTGAATTCCCTCATTCCTTCATCAGATCCCAGTGACCCTCCTGCTACAGGCCACAGTAACGATGCCTGGAGG